GGTGTCAGTTGCGCACTGCAAGTTAGACTCCGAGTGCCTTCGATGTGGTGGCCCCAAGGTGCCAAGTAAACTGTGCACCTGCGTGTATGCATCCTGCGCATTCTTCAGCAAAGTAGGGATCCAACCGAGTGTCACGTCATAATAGGACATGGCTCTCTCCTGTCACAAATGGAGCCATCGCCGTCCTCACGTCACGGTCCAGACTTCAGTGTTGGTGCAGGAGCTTAAAACTCTGCAACCGGTGGCAACAATATCTCTTAGTGGGTGCCACACACGTCCGGTTTTGGCATTGCTGAAGAGGCACGGCGCTGATGTGTCTCGCGGAATTGATTTTTTATGCCAATGTCCCTGTGCGGCAGCTTTTTCCTGAGCGTGATTTTACTGCACATCCCCAATGACCAAGCAGTAGAGCTTTCCATTCAACATCTTTTTATACTGGCTCTCCGGGGTGGTCTGGCAAATCTAGTGCCTTTTCAAGTCTCTCCAAGTTCGTCCCGGATATTGAACATCCAAGAAATGCTTGCGCTGCCTTGGCGCAGGTCATACCCATCGTCGAAGACCAAGAACGCAAACATGCTCCCCACGGGTGGCAACTGCGGGGCTGCGGGAAGCGCCAACTTCTGCCTCCTGGCCCCCAAGTAAGCAACACGTCAGGAATCATTTGCGTTATATAACTTACGAGTATATATTTGCATTTTGTAATTTGGCAGTTATTGCAAAGTTTGTGTGCTGCCGAGTTCAAGAGAATTGGGGCAAACTTTTGAATGATGATGAACACACGGTGAGAAGCCTGGGAAAGGGCACAATTGAAATACGAGCAACCTTTGATCCCAAACGCAGATGCCATGCCATCCAAGTATATTTGGTTTCTGCATCCTTTCTGGGAGGTCCCTGATAAAGATTGGAACTGCATAAGCCCAATGTTGCGTGCCATAATGGCACTGCCATTATGCCTCTTGTCTCATTGTTTTCTGGATGTCTCAGGGACATTCGCTGTGAGGTCCTTGGGGCAGACGATGGCGCGTACACACGAGGGACACATCACAGGGTGCGTGCCCATCGGTTCATGGGTTGCTTTTGAAAACAACTTCAACAAGCCATGGCAAGAACATGCGGACCCACAGGCCATGGGTTAGGAGAGATAGAGGCTGCGCAGTCGGCATTTAATCATGTGTTCCACAGAGATGGACCTCGGACAGTTCACAGAGAAGTTTTCAGCGGGTTGGCATATGCGGGCCTTGTGGCCTCTGTATCCATGTCTTGACTGATTGGGTGTGTCTGGTTGTGCCAGCTGTACGTTTTGTTTACAAGAACATTGTGTGGCGGCCTGGGCGTGCACGCTTTCACTAGTAGAAAACAGCCTGTTTGCGATGCCCGCTGCGACGCCATTTTGACACAAATTGATGCCATCACAGCCCCTTTTATGCCATCGCACTCTCTGTGACGGCATCAATTTGTGTCAAAATGGCATCACAGCTGGCATCGCACACATGGCGTTTTCTACCAGTGTTTGTTGCAGGCCAAATTACAGTGGTTGGATATGATATTAATATTTTGATGTTTTAATTGTGCCTCGTTTGCCGTGCATTCGGTTGCTTTTTTCCCTCTCATTCCACCTCCTGTCACGGCTATCAATGTGGAGACATCTGATGTCTTTTGTTTCACCTTTCCACGGCGTCTTTTGTGGTGTTCCCCCTTCTTCCCACGACGACTTCTGCCATGCTTGCCTCTGTTTCTGACGCTTCTCGCCAATTGTTCTCAATCTTTTGCAATGCTTCTTGTCGTGACACCGATGAATACGCATCTCATGATGTGGCGGCTATTTTCGCAACGTCGTGCATCCATGTTTCTCAATCTTCGCTGACGTCTTTTGCCACGGTTCGTCACCACAGCTGCTACTGCCTTCTTGCGTCTTCTTTCAGTATTTCATTTTGTGTTGAGCGTGTCCCAAGTTGTTTTGTTTCACCCTTTTGCCATTGCATCGTTCTCTACTGCCACGCCTGTCCTTCAGTGCCGTCATTCAGTACTTTATGTTGCTCGAAGTCTCTTTGTGCGTTGCCTTGTTGACAGCTTTCATCACGGTGTCGTCCCCATCGCCATGGCTGCCCGTGGGTGTCCCAATTCAGTACTTTAAAGCGTTCTGAGAGTGTCCCGTGTCGCCTAGGCGGCGCCTCCTGCCATGGCATCGTGTCGGTAGCCCGGGTCCTCGAGTGGTTGCATGTTCTGGTGCTTCACTATATGTTGCGTCTTGCCCACTTCAGGTCCTGTGATATCTGCGTCGCACGGCCCGGTAGTCGTTTGGGTCTCTGAGTGTCTGCATGTCTCAGTACTTTGCCGCGCTTTGTGTGCCTCTCATGTAGATTTCTGTGACACCTATGCGCTGCACAGTTCTGCAGTCGTTTCATTCATCACGCGATGCCGCATTTCGGTAGTCTACGTTCTTTGTCTTGTCCTCAAAGTGCTGACTTCGCCCAGGGCCGTCGCTTCTCGATCTCTGATTGTGACGTCTTCAGTATATGGCGACTTCCGCCGTGCTGGACCCCTGTTGTCACCATTTCTGCATGGCGACCATCATCACACACGACAGCGCCCATCGGCCATCGTCCACCGCGCGGGAATTTCGCTTTCCCGGCAACGTGACTCACCCTTTCCGCCCCTTGCTCCCCCCCCCCCCTTCCCCGCGCCCCTCTGGATCAGACCCACCACGCGAGGGCTTCCACGGCCGCCTCCGCTTTCGACGGCTTGTGGCGCCTCACTTGGGGCCCGAAACCCGAAATGGGCAATGGGACCGCAGAGAAGCGGAGATGGTGAGCGAGATTGGGCGCCGGCCACGCACACCCGCACGTTACCCGGACTGACCCGAAATGCGCTGACCGGGGCGCCGACCCGCTGACCCACGACCGGCGGCGGAGACGGGAGGCCGAGCCTCGCTGCCAAAACCGCGGGCCAGCCCGTGCCACCTAAGCTGGGGCTGTGCCGGATCGTGGCATCCGAGTGATTTCCAGTAATTTGGTGCCGTACGTTGTGTGCAGGACGTTGAGTCAGCTAGATTACGTCTAACAAACTGCAATACTCAACTGGCCTCCCTCACCTTGCGCATTTGGAAGAACAGAAAATGGGTTTAGGACGCTTCACTTTTCCTAGAGGGCCTTGTCCCTATTAGTAGTGTCCCATTAACAATATTGTCGCGAAATGGCACTTATTTGAAAATCTGACATCGCCTATGCAGCGACGCAATACTTTCGAATGCATAGCATCCATGCTAGGACGGAGGACGCACCTGCCTCTTCGGCCGTTTGGCGATAGTTACACTTATACGCGAAGCAACTCCGCTTCTGGCAGCCTGTCCTTTTCACACGCTTTTCACATGTGTCTTCTGCCTGTTGTTTTCAAGGCACTGAATCCTGAATACACGCTGCCCTAGAGCGCGGTAAGGAATTACGTGCATCTGTCCCGCGTAGATGCAAGGAAACCCGGCTCGCTTCAAAACCTGTGACTACGCGCCAGCTCCAATATTGTAGTTAAGAGCATGTTCAAGCAGGGCCTAGCCTCTACTGAACCTACTTCGGTTCTTCCTATCAAATGCACTGCCTCACTTCGCTCACTTCGAACAGTATGGCAGCGTTGCTGAAGGTGTTGGTAAAACGACGCGTGGGACATTCCTCTCCAGAGTTGTCCTATACCGTCACTTAATTTTTGCAGCACTTTGAGTTCTGGTTGCTCAGAAAATGGCGCAAGTGAAGGAGTCCTTGTGCCTGAGGTGATTTGGGACGAGTGATAACCGTCGCTGGCACTGCCAAACCAGCTACACGATGTAACAACTGTCAGAGGGGGCACAAGATCAACCGCAAGTGGTGGTGCCCGGATGAACGTTACGCTATACTTTCGCTTGTTTCAAGATCGTTGCGCAGTGGCCAGTTGCTACTGTGAAGGAACAGATCATTGGCACCTTGGCGACATGCTCCACAACGGCATACAGTGCATTTGCTCTATCAGTTGAACCATTTGGGAAACTGATGAGTGGAACTCGCTGTGGATTGGAGCCTCGATACCACCGGTCTGGAAGCTTGCATATTCCGAGTGGCGTTTAGACATATATTGCAATCTCCAGAAATGAAAAAGGCAGGCCATTTTCACATCAGAAAAGGATTCAATTTATTTGCACGTGTGACGAAGCAAAGGGTGACGTGCACCAGTGACACGTGCGCTTGAAGTGGAATGTGGGCCCAGCCATAAAGTGCCCGTGGCACAAGAGCAAATTGGCATATAGAATTTGGATGTGAGGGGCATGGTTGCTGGCACATGGCAAGATTTTCTGTCAAAGGAACAGCTCCTGGTCCCACAGCTCTTGCAGCACAAATGCCCACACGACCAGCGCAGCTGCTTCTTGCAACCTGTGGCCAATGCTTGTCAGTGGCGGGGATGCTGATCCCCATGCAAAAATGCAGCATTTTGCAGCGCCATCCGAGCACCAATGTTCGTTTTTGAGATTCAAGCATTCACTCCCCTGTCCAAGCAGTCCGCACTATTTTTGACTGTTTGTGGATACAGGTTGGGCGGAGTGGGGGAGGCAGCGTGTGAAGAATGGGAAGGAGAGACCTGAGAGGGACAAGGAGAAGAGAGAAGGACTGCAGAGCTATGGTGGCCAGGAATGTAGATCCTTGTGGCAGTGAATAGCAGCTTAAATGTGGACTTCCATGCAGCACTGTTGATGGTGTTTATGTCTTGAACCCAACGTACCAACTGGCTCACGATTTTCTGTTTTCCTAAAATTGCCAGAGGGAGTTTCACTGCAGATCCCAACTTGGGCCAGAAATGCGAATGGCATTGTAGCAGCCTGGAGCTGACACACAGGAAAGTGCGAGCACACCAAATTATGGGGTCACAATTGCAACTCCAGACAAAGCAAAACGAACGCATCTATCAAAATGCACCACCAATAATAGAACCACACACCCAACCTTGTAATCTTAGACTCTTCAGTTGAATGCTGCTATACCCTATAAGCAGCTGCCTTTCCACTCTCTGATCTCGTCTAATTTGCTAATTGCTGTGTAAACTAATCCCTCATGCTGGTGGTGGCCATCTGGCTGGTGATTCTTGACTTCCAGAAAAGTTTGCAGAACTTCCTCTGCATCTTCGAATTTCTCTTGTGCACACATTGCAAACCCCACAGCAAATAGTCTTCCTGCAACATCTCCATGGAGATCTCCTAGTGCCAGCCTTTCAATGGCCAGTGTCATGCTGTGATATTTCTCGGCCTCAGAGTACTTCTCCTGCCTGTATGCTACAGATCCCAGCCACCCCAGCCTCAGTGCAACATCCTGGTGATCTTTACCAAATATATGCTTTGTGATTGCCAAGGACCTCTTGAAGTACTGCTCAGCCTCAGAAAGCACATCCCGGTCAAATGCAACAATTCCAAGGTAGCACAGACTGTCAGCAACACCTAGATGTTCCTTGCCAAGAACATGCTCTCTGATAGACAAGGCCATCCTGTGATACTCATCAGCCTCAGGAAACTTTTGCTGACGGTGCATTGCATGACCCAGGCTGGTTAAGCTTCGAGCAACATCTGGATGTCCATCACCAAGAACCTGTTTTCTGATGGCCAAGGCATCCCTGTGATGCTCCTCAGCTTCTGGGAGCCTTCCCTGTTGCTGCAATGCTGCCCCAACATGGTCAAGTAGTGTAGCAACATCTGGATGCCTATCACCCAAGACATGTTTCTTTGCGGCCAAGGCCCTGTTGTAGTATTCCTCAGCCTCTATGAACTGTCCCTGCCGAAACTTTACTGTTCCCAAGTTGTCCATGCTGTGGGCAATGCCTGGATGGCCATCACTAAGACAGTGTTGTCTGATTGCTAATGCACCACTGAACTGCTTCTCAGCCTCAGAGAAATTCCCTTGCATCCACAGCACCTCTCCTACATCATCAAGGCTTTCAGCAATATCTTGATGTTCTGCATCCAGAGATTGTCTCCTGATGGACAGTGCTCTGCAAAAGTGCTCATCGGCTTCAAGGAACTTGCCCTGCTCAAACACCACACATCCCAGGCAATGCAGTGCCTTTGCCACATTGGGATGGCCATCGCCACAAACTTGCTGCATGATGCCAAGCGCCATGCTGGCATAAATGTTGGCCTGGGGAAAATCTGCTTTGCCTATCATAGCTTCTGCCAGGCATATCATGCTCTCTGCAACATCTGGGTGGTATTCACCCCAAATCTTCTTTCTAATGCACAGTGCCCTGCAAAGAAACTCTTCAGCTTTGGAAAAGTTGCAGTGGATGCTCATCACCTGCCCCATACCAAGCAAGCTCTTAGACGCCACCTGATCGAAATCGTTGTTGGCAATCTCAAGTGCACTGCTGAAGCACTGTTGCGCATCGTCCAGTTTTGCTAAGTCAAGCATCACCATACCCAGGTCATTCAGACTCTGCGCCAGGCTTGGATGCTTGCTGCCCAGCTTCCTCATTCTCATCTCCAGTGCCATCCTGCAGAACACCTCAGCATCTGATAACCTCCCCCGGTGCTGCATCACCATTCCCAAGTAACCAAGACACATTGCCACATCCTGGTGCTCTTCCCCCACACAGACCTTGGCAATATGCAGGGCTCTTTCATGAATTCTCTCAGCCTCTGCATAGTCCCCAAGCATGAGCAGCGCATGGCCCAAATGATTTAAACTTCTGGCCACCAGTATGTTCTCTTCTCCAGACATTCCTATTTGAACATCCACAGCCTTTTGAAACCCTTTCTTGGCCTCTTGGTACATCCCCTGGGCTAGAAAAGCCATGGCTGAAGCTGCTTCTTTTGCTTCCGTTCCACAAAGCTCCTGTTTTTCTGACATTTGCTTGGAGTTGGTGTTCGCGTGCTGTCCCTGCTCGATTGTCACATAGAAAAATTCAATTTCTGCTCAAAAGCAATGCCTCCTGTGGCAGGTTACCTATGCACATCAATCAGAGTTCAGGTCATGTCTCTGTTTGTGGGCAGAGCCAGACAAGTTTTCTGCTTACGCTCACGTTTTTGGTTTATGTTCTTACACCTAAAAATGTAGATTTGCAAAAGCGGCTGTTTTTACCACCGCATTTGCGTTTTTGTGGCTTGTTGCGACACTCACATTACGTGATGAAAGTTGCTTGGGCACCCATAACGCAGTGTCAACCTCACCTCGGCAAGGGCAACGACAGTGTTGAACAAATCTTCGCTCTGTGCTCATTCCAGCACGTCTGGCTTCCACTCCCCGGACTCCCTAAGTCTGTATGTATTGTCCTTATGTACACAGGACTGTATTTATGTTGCATTTACATACTTTTACGCATTTTATGCATAAAAAACGTAAGTATTATTCTCACAGGCAAAAACCGTAAATATAATCAGGTTTTACAGCATAAATAACAAGCCTGGGGCCAGACACCTGAAGTACAACATGAGGCCATCACGTTCTGGGAAAGCATGATTGAATTTCTCACCATGATGACTTCAACCACCTACAAAACACGTGGCACCTGTGGCACAAAGTCTCTAGCACAGACAGATTGTGTGAAACAGTGCTGTCACATGGTCCCCGAATGTGCTGGCAGGGCTGAAAGCAACTGTACCTGTGATTTGCTGACCGCGCACAATGCTGGAAGCTCTTTAACATCTTGTCCCTCTTTCACATCGGCTCTCCATGGCATCTGCAGTGCAATACAGGAGGTGTGAAATACTGATGAATTCAATTTGCACCAAGCAACACATACGGAGTGCTTGCACTGTAACAAAGGTCACATTGGGCATGTGACATGCTCAATGCATTGCTACACTGCGCCAGCAGGTGGCATTGTGCATCAGCCGATATTCGAAGATGGCAGCTGACATGATCAACACTTTCCAAAGCAGGCTCTGTGCTGCTTCATTGTACACTGCATATATATTCTGGGTAAAAGTTAACACAGCATCGCTGGCAGACTGAGGCTGTCACAAAGACAAATATTCGAATGACATAGACCTTGACATGAGTCTATTGGCACTGCATCACACCGATGTGCCAATCACATTGCATCAGCTCCCCCAATCTGCAATGTTCACCAGCACTCTGCAGCAGGACTGAGCCACTCATGCCAAAGCCTAGGGGTAAGTTGTCGCCCTAGGCACCTGGCAGGCAATCAATGCACCAACACCCTGCTGATGCAACTAGGCCCCCTTCATAAACATCATCCCGGACAACAGGAGAGAAAGTGAGTGCCAGACAGAAGGTCAGAGAAGTTCAGCAGCACATTCCAGCTCGGCTTGCACAGCAGCACAAAGTTCAGGTGACAGAATGCTGCGTAACCAAAACAAGTTAATCCACATAGGTGTCATCAACCATGTCAACTGCAACAATCCCAAAATGCACATTGATGTCGGAAATCTTCAGTGTACCTTACCACCACTCCATCACATTTTTTGTCCATCGTTCCATTTTGTCCTGTGACTCACCCTTTCTGCCTGGTTCTCCATGCTGTGCCGTGGGCATCCGCAGTGCCTGGGGAGTTCCGATATGTGCAGATGCCACAGCCAATACAGTGATACCCCCCTGATATGCACTGCTCTCAGGCACCACGCCCCCCAAGTCTGCAGGGCAAAGCCAACCCGTGTATAGTGAGCAGAAAGTACAGCGGCACGTGTTCCCGGCACTGGCCCCTACAGTTCATTCCTGGGTGCCGAGCAGCCAAAAAGCCAGACAGGGGCCACAGGCCACCATGGCAATAACGCCACTCAGGGCATTCAGATGAAATGAACACTCAAAAATCAAAGACAACAATGGAAAATCGACCTAAAGCTCAGGCTGGGAACAGAGGGTGCCATGGCCCCCAAAGCCCACTCGCAGTGTCCTGATGAAATATACTGAAGCCCAAGCCGGGAATACAGAGGTGCTGTGTCGTGAGGGGCCCTCAAGACATCGCGATGAAATCAACAATCGTAAAGCAATGGACAGCCCAGACTGGAAACAGACAGCACCATGGCCCCCCAAGGCCCACTGGCGGCTGCCCGGTGGAACAAACAATCAAAGATAAATGAACAGCCCAGTCCAGGTCAGGAGCTTGGGGGCGGCACAGGCTTGACCCACAGTGGGAAGCCGAGGAGGGTGGAGGTGGTTGTGGTGGGGTGGGGGTTGGGGTGGAGGGCACCAGCAGAAAACAGCCTGTTTGCGAATGCCAACTGCATTGCCATTTGACAGAAATTGATGCCATCACAGCCTCTTTTATGCCATCGCAATCACTGTGATAGCATCAATTTGTGTCAAAATGGCATAACAGCTGGCATCGCAAACATGGTGTTTTCTACCAGTGGGGGACGACCCTCAGCCGTGGCAGATTCCCCGAAAGATGGGCATTGGGCCCCCGATCCTCTTCTCCATTTCTTTGGGAGGGAGAGCCGCGGTCAAGGCGAGCACCCAAGACGATGGGCAGGAATGGGCGGACGTTCAGCTCCGAGAGGGGAGCGTCCGGCAGAGGTAAGAGCGGGCGGGGTGGGGGAAGGCGCGAGCCTCGTGGCGGCAGGTGCCCCAAAAGATGGGCGAGGGGCCTCCGATCCGCTGGGGCGGGTGCGCGGCGGGAAGGGGAGAACCAGCCACGGCGGGAAAATACGGAGAATGCCTGGAAAGATGACAAAAACGGACGGTCATTCTACTCCGATAGGGGAGCATGGAGCCAGGGGGGCGGCGGTGTGGGTGGGTGGGTGGGTGGGGAAGGGGGGAACAGCGACCCCAAGCGTCCCATCCGGCACAGCGCGTGGCGCTCGGCTGCCTACCCACTGCCCAGGGAGCCCAGATGGCCGGCGCCGGATGGGGAATGTCGGACGCCCCGGTGGTCAACGATTCGTCCCGGCCAGCTGTCCCGGGGGTCCCAGCTGTCCGGGGGTCAGTTGCTCCGCGGTGGACCCCGGGTCCCCTTTCTCGGTCTGTCGATTGGGCGCGGGTCCGGAGGAGGGGTGGCGGCGCCCTGTTGTGGTGGCCGTGCTGCGGCCAGTACTAAAGGGCGTGCAGCTGGGTGGGCAGCGCTTGAGGCTGTGCTGCCAGGTGGGCGATACTTCAGAGGCCGCGCTGCGGCCCCAGTACATGAGGCCGCGTTTCCAGACCAACGGTACTTAAGGCTGTGCTCTGGCGTTTGTACTTGAGGCTGTGCTGCCAGTGGTACATGGCCAGTGCCTCTGGTGCCTTGGGGGTATTTTGGGCGATGTGTCAGGCACACGCCAGGAACTTGGCGTCCCTGAACACTCCTTGCTAGATACTAACGTGGTCGGAAAGACAAAAAGGCTGACTTGTTTGAGCTGAAGCAAACGAATGAAGTGGCTTGCATGTCGTGCTTTGTGCGAGAGGTGTGCTACCATGGGAGGCTCGTCTCAAATATCTGTGCGTACTCTGAGTGCAGTATGAAAAATGTGAATTGTGCCACGTTTTTCTGTCAGTTTCCTCCAAAAGCTGCTATCAATCTTTCCGCCAGATAGGCGCTCCCTCGTTGTTGTTTGCGTTCTTTTCTTTGTACTGCCGCACTGGACGAAAGTTTGCGTTGTATCCCCGGCTACCCCTCCGTCATCATCTCCGCCGCAGCAGCTGCAATGGGACGTGCAGATAGGTATCAACAACAACATGAATTATTTAGGTCACAAGCCGAAATGGCCGAAACTGGGACGCAAGATAACAACAAATGACTGCTGACTACTGGGACGCCACTGGGACGCCATAGGGACAATATTGGGACGCCACTGGGACGCCACTGGGACGCTTTCACTCTCACCAACGTACTGCGAGAAAGCGTCCCAGTAGCGTCCCCGTAGGCGTCATTTATTGTCATACGGCGTCCCATTTTAGGCCATTGCCACTTAGTGGGTGGTGTCAAATTTGAGGCTCCGATCCTCATTCGCACCGAAAAAGAACAAGATAATTAAAAGGCGGTTGGGATGGGAAGCCCGCAGAAGATAGAAATGGTAGAAAAACACCATGGTTTTATGGTTTTTATGGTTTTAAATAGGTCTCATGGTTGTTTTTGATGACATTTTCAAACGCGCTGGTGTCCGTTCGGTTTTCTGCCTTGGGATCTGGGCATCCTTGCACGCGGCTACTATGGCTGTTGGTGACACTGACTCGTGTGCTTCTGGTGCTGCGAAATGACTGTGAAGATGTTCCAGTCGCGCATAGATTAGCGCAAGCATCAAGATTATTCACTACCCGAAAGTCCGTGCCAGCGCATTTTGTCTTCATTACAGCGCTCACGGAAGTTTTTAGTGACGGGCAAGACTGCAACACCAGGAGTATGCCTGGTCTATTAATAGACCGGCAGCAGGCAGACACCGCCGTGCGGGAAGCTGACCGCTCGGGAGGAGGCGGACATGCATGGACACTCTTGACACTGCTGTGGAAATTCTTCTGCATTGCTGTGAGCATTACCATCGAGATCCGCTCGCCAGAAGATTCGGCCAAGAAATGCGATCCCAGTATTATGCTGGTTAAATGGAGTGGGCTTGCAAATAATGGAGGGGAAGGCAGCGAGAGGTGAAAGGTTTGAAGATGAGGTGGCGTTTATTTCCTCCGCACCAAAAGCATTGTTTCACAACGTCGCATGACCATTTTTCATTTATTCAATGATACTATCATGAAATCACCACAATGGTTGTGGCCCGTGTACACGGGGGTTTCCTAGAATAAATCCAAAGCCCAATTGCCAGAAACACGTCATTTTTTGGACGCCATACGGCCGTGTGGAATAGGGTTCACATCGGTGCAATATTATGGCTTCGTTTTTATGGCGTTGGCCGCCGTTCGCGCGCCGTCCACGCACAGTCGCACCCAGGCATGGAAGCAAAGGGCCCAGATGCATTGCAGGATGAACGTAGCAACTAAATAATAGTAGTTGCAAGAATTTTCACGTCTCGTCTCCATTGCCCCCACACACATTTTGCCACAGCACACGCCATGTTCACCGTAACCACCTTTGGCCACAAATCAACATATCACACATAATCACATAATTGCATATTGTCTCTTCGCCGTCACAATTGTTATTGATCCGATTCCGAGCAACGCTTCAGCAAATGCCCGCGTGTCCATGTTGACTATCGCCGATGTGTGTAGGGGGGTTTGTGTCAATGCTGATGCACTAGCATTGCTGCGCCGTTGCTCGGGGCTGCATCAGCGGTACTGTACACACAATATTGCATGAGCATCGGCACGCCAGGAAACGCCCAAGGTCACCGGTATTCAAAAATTCTCAAAACTGCGACGGTGAAGGCGCCTTCTCCAATTTTGATCGCAAGGTCCGCGAGTCCAGAAATCACTACGCCCTTGCAACCGAAGTTTGCTGCGCTCATTCTGAAGAGATCAGGATCAGTAAAGCGGTCTTCAAAGAAGAAGCCATCGCGTCAGCGAGAATGTGGGACAACGAGTGAGAATGCCACACGCCCGAAAATTTGACGTGGATCATTTAGACACGTCATTGTGTTTCGCCAGAAATTGGCACCCGACAGGGAGGAGAAGAACGCGGCAGGAGCCCTGGAGTAGCCAATGCAGAAGCTCGCAATGTTAATTTGGTTCCCGCTGACGCCAAAAGCCGCAGAGCAGCGAACGAAAGCAGCGGAACGCAGACAGGATCTTCTGGACACCTTGCCAGCGAAAGATGCGAGGGATTGGGGTGGGAGGGTCTCTGGGCATCGGTTTGGGAAATGTGAAGATACAAAAAGAGAGCATATGGCTATGGGGGCAGATGGCGCGGGATTTATCGAAGGGGCCATGACCCATGGGAAGATCCGAGGCGGAGGATACGGGAGATGGGCTGGACAGCTCTCTGTAGAGACCCATCGTGGCACCGGTGGGAGAACTGAGAGCCCCGCCGAAGCCGTCGACGGCCCCGACGACCCCCTACCGCTCCCCCTGTTGACAATGTCGCTGATGCCGCGGACACCAGCCATCCTCCAAACCCCTTTAGGCGACGTCGCCGGGGGTCGCGTCGCCGTCGTTGGCAACGCCCACCGGAGGTTGGACCCTTTCTCACCCAGGGCCCAGGTTGAGCAACAACACGGCGTCATGGTGGGCGGCAGGAGGATTTGTCAGAATAGTTATTAGCAAAACATGCTTCCCGCGTCCCAGATAAATTGCACTTAGGAAACAACAAATTCAAGGTCAAATCTTGTTCCAATGTGCAAAATATTGTCCGAAAAGAAAGGCCGCGGGCCAAGCTTTGGAGACTACCTTTAGCCTACATGGCAACAACATAACAATCCTTAAGATAATCCCTCAAAATCCGGGAAATTGGGCAGTTTCGGCGCCACATTAAGAATTTCGGGACATTTTGACCGATTGGCGTGTGTTCGAGATTGTGCTACAATTTGAATTGTGAACCGATTGACTCGAAACTTTTGAACCCCAAGCTACATTTAAATTGACGCATTTTGGCACATTTTGGTGAAACTGGATGATTTGAAAGCTGCCCAACGCCACAGCTCAAAAATGGATTTCAACCTAA